CCCCCTCACCCTCCGCCTGCCCCCCTCACCCTCCGCCTGGTCTCTCTGAAGCTGGGAGACCCCTCTGTTCCTGAAACTTCCCCTCCTGGGCTCCCATGGCTCTCTTCTCTGTTTATCTGCCCGCTTTCTCTAATGCTCTCCCGTGATCTCTCCTTCTCTTCGGCCCCACATGTTGGCGCTCCCCTGGGTGGGAGCTGAGCCCTTGTCCATCATCTCCCTCCGTGCAGCCTCCTCTGCGCCTGCCAATTTGGTTGGGTCCTCATGGGAGGGGCACCCTCCCCCGTGGATTCATCTCCGCTTCCTCCTGAGCTCCAGGCCCAACATGGGAGCATCGGCTGCACATCTCCATCCCAGAGACCTCACACGCCCCAAACCTGGCCTGTGCCCTGCACAGCCCCGGTGTCCCCACTGTGCCCATCACCTGGGTCGCTGCAGCCACAGTCGCCGATGCCCAGGGGCTTCCCACGGGGCCTCCCATGGAGCCGGGCTACCCTGCGCCCTCAGGCCTGGCCCTGCCCCGCTCTGAGGAGGAGGTCGCCTTCCTCGGACGGGGCTGACCTGACTCATTGTCTCCCGGTGCCTGGCTCACCGGGCCGTGGGCTTGGCAAGTGTTTGTTGAGTTGCATGACGTGAGCCCAGTGGGGTCTCTGTAAGTGCAGGTCGCTGAGCAGGCGACAGAGACGTTTGAAACTCCTGCAGCGTTTGTTACCGGCCGAGTCCCATTCACTCGGGAGCAGAGAGCCAGCAGGAGGTTACACACGGGCTGCAGTTGCTCACGACAGGATAAGCTCTCGGGCACGCCGTGGCTCGGGCTTTCCCATTGGTCCTGCCATTTCCGTTTGCTCACCTTTAAAAAATACAAACAGGACCAGCCAGTGTTGCTCAGTGGTTGAGCGTCGACCTATGAACTAGGAGGTCGCGGTTCGATTCCAGGTCAGGGCACGTGCCCAGATTTCAGGCCCGATCCCCATTGTGGGGCGTGCAGGAGCAGCCGATCCATGGTTCTCTCTCATCATTGATGCTTCTCTCTCTCCTTCTCCCTTCCTCTCTGACATGAATAAAAAAAATATATTTATTTTAAAAAATACCGAACAGCAACCCCTGTGGATCCAGAGGTGCCCAGGCGTAGCTCCCATGGCCTGGCGTCCTGACAGGCCCCGGTTACCCCCAGGCCTCTCGCCCGCCCGGCGTCCAGGCTGCCGCTCTGAGCAGCTCTCCCAGGGGCCTGGCCGCCCATCGTTTCCTGCACGGATCACGCAGTGAGCCTTCACGCTGGCGTGCGGGCCTGTGACTGCGTAAATCCTGTCTCATGGGTCTGGGCTTAGCGACAGGGGACACTGGTCCTGCACAGAGAGATGAGCAGCGGCAGGTGAACCGTGTTGCGGGAAAGCCAAGGACATGCTCACGCTCCCTGCAGGTCCGCATCCTCCTGGTGCCCGCGGAGAACCACGCCTACCAGATCCTCCACCGGCAGTCGGTGGACAAGTCCCGCGAGTTCGTCGCCAACTGTGGAGGGAACAGCTTTTATATTGAGTGAGTACTTCCTTGTGGAAAGGCCCGGAGGGCATGCGGCTCTCCCACATTCCCGTCCTGGAAGGTGGGGGCTCCCCGGGGCCTGTCCTCCCCTCTCTGCGCCCAGCGAGAGGCATGAGGCCGGGTCTGGGGCAGGGGGTGCCCTCTGCATGCCTTGTCCTATGATGGGTGCTGTCATGCACATCCGGGCAAGACCCCCACCCTCAACGGGGGTCTCCACGAGGCACCCTCCCAGCGGGGATTCATGGTCACGCAGGAGTTTCTCTTCCCCTCGCTGCTTCCTGGGGTCCCACCCCGTTTCCTGAGACACCCCACGGGCACCTCCCCTGGGAGGCGTGTCAGACCCAGTGCCCACCCTCCTGTGCCACCTGACTGAGCAGGAGCCTCAGGCCAGACAGACACCATCCTCTCTCCTGCTCCCTGATGCCCAGAGCCTGGTGCAGCCCGAGTGTCAGCCCCAGTCTCTCCACAGACCTGCCTGGGCCCCCACAGGATTCCTGGGGAACCCAGGTCCCTCAGGCAGCTGGGGGCAGAAGTCCCTGAACATAAAATGCTCAGAGCAAAGACTCTGAAGTCAAGCAGCTGTGGATTTGAGTGCCTGCTCAGCGACCCTATAGCTCCGTGGCCTGGGGAATGTTGCTTACCCTCTAGGGGCCTCAGTTGCCCTATCTGTGAAATGGGCGTAGGCCAGCCTGGTGGCTGTGAGGTTAAGTGAGAGGTAGGGAAAGCTCTGGGCACACAACACTCAATAGATGTTGACGATCCACCTGCTCCTCCTCATTATTGCGATCAGTGTATCATTAGACACTTAGGTGTAAGTTCTTGATAATGCTTTATTGAGATATAACCCACATCTTATACTACTCATCCTGTAGGTAAATTTTCACCCTGTTACCCCAGCCCCAAAGCTTTCCACCCCCAGCCTTAGATCTTGTGGGTGTTCTGGAGTGGGGGGCAGGGGGCAGCTGTCCCTGGCTGTGTGTGCAAGGCTGGGGCTTTCTCCCACGTTCTCCCAGACCCCAGAGTCACAGTCCCTCCACAAGACCCTGCTGGTGGGCAAGCGGGAGGGCAGGTGGGATGTCTCTGGGCACAGCTCCCAGGATGTGTGAGTCCTGTTTGTCTCCACAGCCCCCAGACGGCCTCCGGGTTCTGTAAGGACTCCGCCAGGTCCCTGGCGGCGCTCTACCATGAGGGCGCGCTGCCCTGTGAGTGCCACCCCGCCGGTGCTGCTCGTCCTCACTGCAGCCCCGAGGGCGGCCAATGCCCTTGCCGGCCCGGCGTCATCGGTCGGCAGTGCACCCGCTGTCAAACGGGCTACTACGGATTCCCACACTGCAAACGTAAGTGCCCGCTCAGCCATCCGGCGGCTCTGTTCCAGGTGCACAGGCTCCATGGGGCGGCCTCTGTCCCAGATGCACGGGTTCCATGGGGCGGCCTCTGTCCCAGGTACACGGGTTCCATGGGGCGGCCTCTGTCCCAGGTACACGGGTTCCATGGGGCGGCCTCTGTCCCAGGTACACGGGCTCCATGGGGCGGCCTCTGTCCCAGGTACACGGGCTCCATCGGGCGGCCTCTGTCCCAGGTACACGGGCTCCATGGGGCGGCCTCTGTCCCAGGTGCACGGGCTCCATGGGGCGGCCTCTGTCCCAGATGCACGGGCTCCATGGGGCGGCCTCTGTCCCAGGTACACGGGCTCCATCGGGCGGCCTCTGTCCCAGGTACACGGGCTCCATGAGGCGGCCTCTGTCCCAGGTGCACGGGCTCCTGAGGGGGAGTGGAGGCAGGGCCAGGGGCTACCATGCCCTGAGCCAGAAGCCTGCAGACCTTATCTAAGACCCATCCTGCTGCCCCAGAAGCAGGTTCATCCTGCTGCCTGAGATGTAGCCTCGGCACAGAGTCTCCACATGAGACCAGCCTTGCCAACGGGTCCTGCTCCTGATCCCAGCCTGGCCCAGGGCTCCATGCACTGGGGTTGGATGCACTGGGGTGCATTGGGTGCATTGGCCTGCTAGTTTGGAGCCCCTTTGGGAGCCTCCAGGGACGGCACAGGCCCCTCTGGACCTCTGGCATGGACTCTGGATGGGCCACTGCTCTCCTGTCTCCTTTTCAATCCCAGCTGTCACACCAGGAAGGAGATGGCACGTGCACACGATTTTCTGGAAGGACTTTGGCAAAGGGACTGTTGACAGGTGTGAGAGCAGGCAGCCAGCCAACCAGGGAGGTGGCACCCCAGAAACAGACCATCCAAGGTCGAAAGGGGGCGGGGCCACATGAACATGCAATAGTGGGCACGTGAACAAGGGGACGGGGCCATGTGAACACACTGGAGAAGTCGCCTGAGGATGGAGGAGGGGCCACGTGAAGATGGGAGGGATGCAGCCAGGAGCCCCCAGAAGCTGCAGAGGCAGGAAGGACCCTCCCTGGAGCCCTCTGAGGGAGCACAGCCCCCAACGCCCTGATTTCAGGTTCTGGCCCCAGAAGGGGGAGAGCACATGTTCCTGTTGGTTGAGGCCAGTTTGTTGTCATGGGAGCAGCAGCCCAAGAAATAGACCCTCCTTCCCCTCCTTCTGGGGCTTTGACCGGGTTCTGGGCACAGCTGGGCCCTGTTCCCAGCAGGGGAGACCTCCCCCCCTCAGACTTCCCCCCGCAGGGCTCCCGGGGAGACCTTCCCTGTGTCTGTGCCTCGGCCCTGCCTCCCGCTCCCCGGGCTCCTGGGCAGCGACAGTGCAGTGGGCGCACCAGGCAGCTGCTTGGTGGGAAGCGCAGGCCACGCACTCAGGGACTCCCCGTCCCTGCGGAGCCCCAGCGGCAGATGGTGCAGGGTCCTCCCCGGCCCTGCCCTCACCTCCCGGGCCTCCCCTCCTGAGTCCAGCTGGGCCTCCGCTTCCTGGGGCACCTGGGTTGACAGGAGCCAGCAACTGGGTGGTGGTGCCCATATTCCAGATGCCAAAACTGAGGCTCAGAGAGGGGAGCAGAGGTCCCGACCCCCAGCCCACCTCCCCCTCCACTCAGCCCAGCTCACAGCTGTTCCCCCAGCTGCCGCCTGGTTGCCATGGTGTTGGAGGAGGAGGAGGAGGAGGAGGAGGAGGAGATTCCTGAGAAGCAATCCCAGCAGCTGACCCTCCTTCCTCATCCCTCTCTCCAGCTTCAAAGCCTCCTCTAGTGCAGGTAGGCGGGGTCTCTTCCTGGCCAGGCAGCCAGGAGCAAAGGAGGTCAAGGAGGCAGAGGGTCCAGGTAGTGGGTTCTGGGACGCCAACCTCACCCAGCAGATTTCCTGGGCTGGGCTCCATCGCCCTCCCACAGTTCCCAGACCAGGAGGGCCTCCCTGCCTCCCTGCCTTCGCACATGCAGTTCCCTCCACCTGGAATGCCCTTCCTCCTCCTTCAGGTCTCAACTCCACTTTAACTCCACAGGAGAACCTTCCCTGAGTCCCTCGGGGCTCCCCCTGCGTCCTCCACCCACCCCAGTCAAGCCGTTTTCTGGGTGATGCTCTGACGGGGCGGTGAGGTCTTGGGGTGCTAGCTCTGCCTTTGTACCTCAGCCCCTGGCACAGACAGGTGCTGAGTAAATCCAGAAGGAAGGGAAGGAGAGAGGGAGAGAAGGGAGCAAAGAAACACCTCTCTGGACCGTGAGCACCTGGCACAGGGCTGGGCACGGAGCAAAGCCCACTCTCTTCCTGCCTCCTCCACCTGAGCCTGGGTTCCAGCACCTTCCGCCTCACTTGTGTCACCGGTGTCACACACCCTCTACCAGGAGCCTTCAACAGGGTCAGCCTCGGCCCGAGAAAGGGCCTTCATGTCGGCTCCCATCAACAGTGCCACCATGAAGAGAGCCTGGCATTTTCCGCCCTTGGAAGCTTCTAGAATCCTGGCCGTTGGTGCAGCCCTGCTGGGTCGGGCAGCATCTCACCTGCACGTCTCTCTCTGTCCCTGCAGCGTGCAGCTGCGGCTGGCGCCCCTGCGAGGAGACGACGGGGCGGTGCCTCTGCCCTCCGCACACGGCCGGGCCCCAGTGCCAGGTCTGCGACGCCCACTCCTTTGGCTTCCACCCCCGGGCGGGCTGCCAGCCCTGCAACTGCTCCAGCGCGGGCACGGCAGTCACGGTGGGCACCCCTGAGTGCCACCTGGACCACGGGCAGTGCAGGTGAGCTGGGGCATGGGCCCGCTGGTTCTCCATGGAAGGGACGATGCGTCTGCCCACACCGGACGTTACTCCCGATTCTCATGGGCCCGAGGGCTGCACGGGGTCCCCTCAGGGCGCGGTTCCCCGTCCAGATAGGTCACGTGTGGAGTCACTTGTTCCCCAGGGGACCCAGCAGGGCCTGGTGGGTGAGGGCCGGTCGCCTGAGCCCACAAGCTGCCCGGCCTGTTCCCTCCACCATCCATCTTTTTATTTCTTTTTTTTGGTTAATCCTCACCCCAAAGTATTGTTCCCATTGATTTTTAGAGAGTAGGAGGGAGAGGGAGAAACATTGATGTGAGAGAGGCACATCGTTTGCTTGCCTCCCACTCGCGTCCTGACCAGGAATCGAACAATCCAGGTACGTGCCCTAGACTGGGAATCGAACCTGTGACCCTTTGGTCCGTGGGCCGTCATTGTAACCACTGAGCCACCGGCCAGGGCTCCAGCATATTTTTAGTGTCAAAATGCACGTGTAGAGTTACCAACTTCTACGTGTCCCTATGGGGGGCGCCTCGCCACTTGTATTTAGGGCCGGGCTCCACCCTTCCCTGGGTTAGCTGGACGTTGTGAAGGACAGGGTAGGACTCAGGCTGAAATCCTCAGGCCGGTCCCTCCCTGGGGCAGCCGGACGGGGTGAGCCACATGCACCCCCTGCTGTGTAACCCACCGTCCAGTGCCTCCAGCCTCTGGTCTGGGAGGCGGGATCCTGTCCCTCATGCCGTCGCCGCTCAGTCCGGCTGGTACGCTGTTCACCTGGGAAGCCCGTGACTTCGGCTTTGAGGTTTCAATGCAGAGCCTGCCGGGCACCTGTCTGAGCCGGTGTGGGGGTCCTGTGTGTGTATGTGGCAGGGGGGACGGGGGGGAGGGACATGCTGGAGAACCTCCTGGGAGGGGCTGCCCGGAGCAGCGAGAGGTCCTGGCACGACTGCTGAGACACGAATAGCAAACGGCTGTTTCCATGATGAGAGGGAATCACTGATGGGCTGCCTCCTGCTGGGGATCGAGCCTGCAACCCGGGCACGTGCCCTGACGGGGAGTGGAACTGGTTCATGCTCGTGGTTTGAGAAGGATAAAGACTATCCCTCTCCCTTCCTCTCTCTAAATGCAAAAATCAAGTCTCACTCAGCTCCTTCCCGAAGGACAGGGGTTGCTTGGCACGGGGCCTTCCTTAGGTTTGATCGCTGCCTGCTGCACGCCCCCAAAAGGGGATGAAGCCCGCACCCAGGCCTGTGCCCTCCCCAGAGTGGAACTGGTGGCCTCTTGGTCCCTGGCTTGATGCTCAATGGCTGAGCCCACCTGCTGGACTCCCGTTCCTTTCTTTTCCGATGAAGTGAAAACATGTACAACAGATTCCCTCTTCCTGTCCGCACCCTCGAGGCTCAGGCCCGGGCTCTGCTGCCTCCGTTCTGCCTTGGCCATCAGCACCGGGGTCCCCCTGGCCGTGGATGCACCTGGCCTGCTGTAGAGATGCCGACGGCTTCCACTTCCTTTGCTTGGGTGTAGGTGCAGGCCCAGAATCTCAGGACGGCGTTGCGACCAATGCGCTCCTGGGTTTCACCGCTTCCCCGAGTGCATCCCTTGCCGCTGCAGCAGAGACGGGACAGAGCCCGGAGTCTGCGACCCGGAGACCGGGGCCTGCCTCTGCAAGGTGAGCCTGGGCCAGTGCGGCCAGGATATTGGCCGCCAATCACTGTGGAAGCTCTTCATGTCCAGTCAGTGTACAGGAATATATGGGAAATGGGACGACCCGTGGTAGATGTGGAGGCTGCAGACCTCCCTAAGAGTCTGGTGACAGGTGCAACCCTCTCCAGAAAATCACACACGTCTTTAAAAAAAAAAATTATATATATATATATATATATATATATATATATATATAATATACAATTTATTTCAGAGAGGAAAGGAGAGAGAAAAAAACACCAGTGATGAGAGAGTCATTGATCGGCTGCCTCCTGCACGCCCCACACGGGATCGAGCCCACAACCCAGGCATGTGCCCTGACCGGGAATCGAACCGTGACCTCCTGGATCCTAGGTCGACGCTCACCACTGAGCCACACGGCTGGGCTCCCACACACTCTGCCTACAATTCAAGAGGCTCAGAGGTGCCCTAGGAGCCTGTCCCTGGTTGTGCCTGCTGCCGGGCCCCAGGTCCCAGCGTCAGGGGGAGGCCTTGGTCCCGTCCGACTGAGTCCTGCCGGGCCGATTCCCTGCCTTCGAGATGCCAGCGGGAAGGAAGTGCTCTACGTGTGTGGGATACAGGTTTAAACCAGTGGTTCTCAACCTTCCTCATGCCGCGGCCCTTTAATACAGCTCCTCATGTTGTGGTGACCCCCAATTTCATTGTTACAAATTGAACATAATTAAAGCATAGTGATTACTCACAAAACAATCTGTAATTATAGATGTGTTTTCCGGTGGTCTTAGGCGACCCCTGTGAAAGGGTCATTCGACCCCCAAAGGTGTCGCGACCCACAGGTTGAGAACCGCTGCTCTAAAGGCTCACACAGCTGGTTTAAACAATGAGGCCGTAAAGAAGCTTAACAATCACGCACCATCATCTCACGCTCTGTTGGCATCCCCGTCCTGGCAGCCTGTGCTGTGTTTCGTTCGTGCGGGTAGGTTACGGCCGTCCGGACCCCGCGGAGGGAATGACCTCTCCTTCCGTGTTTTCCGTAGGAGAATGTGGACGGTGCCGAGTGCGACGTGTGTCGAGAAGGCTCCTTCCACTTGGACCCGGCGAACCCCCAGGGCTGCACCAGCTGCTTTTGCTTTGGGATCAGCCGTCACTGCCACAGCACCCACAGACGGAGAGCGAAGGTGTGCGGGAGCGCGTCGGCCTGTTTCAGGGAGAACATCCGAGTGAGGGCGGACGGATGGGCGTGAAACATGAGGGCCATGGGAGTGTCTGGGTAGTACTTTGTTGTTGTTTTAAATACGTATATTTTTATTGATTTCAGAGGAGGGGAGAGTGGGACAGAGAGAGAGACATCAATGATGAGAGAGAATCACTGATCGGCTGCCTCCTGCACTCCTCACACTGGGGTTGGAGCCCACAACCCAGGCCTGTGCCCTGACCGGGACTCTAACCATGACCTCCCAGTTCATAGGTCAACACTCAACCACTGAGACTCGCCGGCCGGGCCGGGCTGTATTACTTTGTTAAAAGGCTGAGCCTGGCCCTGGCTGTGCCTCAGCCTCAGTGCTGTTCCCACAGATGCTCTCCTGCCCCATCCCGTCCTGCAGGGTGTCAGGCCCCTGCTCCAGCGCCTGGTGCTCACGGGGCCTCCCTCACCGCTCCCCACACCATAGCCCACCTGTCACCCTCTGCCCTATTGTATGATTAGTTCTAAAATGTGTTTATTATCTGCCTCCCTCCCCCACGTGCGCCTGAGCTCCGGTTTAGACCAGTGCCCCAGCAGCATCTGGGACACAGTAGATGCTCAGTGGGCACCGTTAAACACATGGCTTTGTGGTTCCTCCCCTGCTGCTTCTCATCAGCTCATCTTCTTCCTGTGTTACTTCCTTCTCAGGCCTTTCACCACATCTTCTCTTTGGCCCCTTTTTTGTTACTGTGAATCCTCACCCGAGGATATTTAGGCAGAATGAAGGGAGGGGGAGAGACAGAGAGAGAAACATCGATGTGAGAGAGATCCACTGATTGGTTGCCTCCCACATGTACCCCGTCTGGGGCCGGGATGGAGCCTGCCACCCAGGTACGTGCCCTCGACCGGAATAGATCCCAGAATCCTTCAGTCCGCAGGCAGGTGCTCCAACCGCTGAGCCAAACCAGCTGGGGCTCTGTGGCCACTTTTTAAATTAACTCCATGAAAGTAAAACGTGTGTTGCCTTCATTATTCCATGAACCAGTAGCCTAATACTTGCTTCTTTGTGCGAGTGTTGTCTTGTATCCAACAAGTATTCAAAGAAAGATTTCATTTCCTGCCTCCTAAAAGGAGTGCAGCCTTTAACTGGGAAAAAGTTAGTTTGTAAACCCACTCTGAAGTCTCCTCCCTCTGCCCCCAGGGAACCCGGAGCCTGACTCCTAACCTCTGCCTTGCCAGCCCTTCGCTCCCTTCCTCTCACCATCTAACTCCTGGCGTCCTTTGTGATCAGGGACATAGTCAGTGACGAGGCTCCATAGAGCAGAGTGACGACAGCCCAGCACTGCGTTCCACTCCACGTCTCACACGCAGGAGCTCACCGTAACGGGAGCCCACGGGACTCGTTGTTACTTATGCGCTTACCCAGTGTCACTCGCACATTGATGGGCGCCTACTAAACGTCAGGAGTCAGGATGTGTCTGGGCACAAGGATAACCCCGCACCCCCTGCTCTCTGCCCTCCGGGGACCCCAGGGCAGGGCCTGTGAGGCCAGGCGGCCGCTCGTCTCTGGCTCCTCTGCACAGCCCAGCTGTGGCGACAGGCCCCATCCCGCGTTCCCACCTGGCTTTTGTGTTCCAGTTTGTGGACATGATGGGCTGGCGCCTGGAGACGGCGGACAGGGCCCAGATCCCCGTCTCCTTCAACCCCGGCAGCGGCAGTGTGGTCGCCGACCTCCAGGAGCTGCCCTCCACCGTGCACAGCGCCACCTGGGTCGCACCTCCCTCCTACCTGGGGGACAAGGTAGGTGCCACCTGGGCCCCCCTCCCTCCTACCTGGGGGACAAGGTAGGTGCCACCTGGGCCCCCCTCCCTCCTACCTGGGGGACAAGGTAGGTGCCACCTGAGCCCCTCCTTCCTACCTGGGGGACAAGGTAGGCGCCACCTGGGGTTTCTAGCTCTGTGTGTGGGGAATGTGGATGCTCCCCCGTAACCCGCTCCTGCCTCACGCACACGCCTCTTCACCTGCACAGGTGGGCCACGCACTGGTTATCTTCGCTGCGTAACAGGTTTCCTGCAACACTGACTTTTTAAAAGATAATATATATATTATATACATACATGTATACATATGTGTGTATATATATATTATATATATATTATTGATTTCAGAGAGGAAGGGAGAGGGAGAGAGAAAGAGACATATCAATGATGAGAGAGAATCATTGATTGGCTGCCTCCTGCACACCCCACACTGGGGGATCAAGCCCGTAACTGAGGCATGTGCCCTTGACTAGAATTGAAGCCGGGACCCTTCAATCTGCAGACTGATGCTCTCTCCACTGAGCCACACCAGCTCGGGCAACACTGACTTTTAAAGCAACAAACTGATGACCTAACCTGGTTTCTGAGGTCAGGAGTCCAGGAGCGGATGCTCGGGGTCCCTCCTGAGGGTGCGGTCGAGGTGTCAGCCAGGGCGTGGGCACCTGGGCTGAGGGTCCACCTCCAAGCTCACCGGGTTGCCAGCAGGTCTCTGTTCCTGCGGGCTGTCGACAGGAAGCTCAACCACGGAGCCATGCCAGCTGGGCTACGCTTTTTTTTTAACAGAAGGACCTTTTACTTGAGAAGCTCCATCACGCTGCGCGGTTTAAGTGATCTAAAGTGGGCAACCTGTGGGACGTTAAATACCATCTTCAGTCCGCTCGCTAGCGGCCCTGTTAGCAGGCTGATTGTGTCTCTCTCCAGACCCTGGGCCCAGTACGTCTCACATGAGCGATGCTGCCGTGGTCTCTTCATGTTTGCCTGCTGACCACGTCCCTCCCGTTTCAGGTCTCCTCCTACGGCGGCTTCCTCACCTACCAAGTCAAGTCCTTCGGGCTCCCAGCCGACATGGCCCTTCTGGGGAAGCAGCCCGCCCTGCAGCTCACTGTGGGTACCAGCCCGACTCGAGGGACCGAGCGGGCGGCCGCCGTCGCGCCGATTCCCTTTAGGGCAGCTTGACGAGGGGCTGCGAATGTCTCGATGGCGTCGTTTCCAATATTTGTAGAAACTAAATGAAGGGTAGAGCATGCAGTGCCTGCCGGGACCCCTGCCCCACCCCCCAGGCCCAATGTGCTTAGTGGCTCATAACGTGATTCTCATAAGTTCACTTTTATGTTTTATGTTTTCATCTTTCAGTTTCCTTTCACAAATGCTTTCGAGCCCTTCCTGCCGACAAGGCCACATGGCTGGGCTCATAAAGGGCAGGCAATGCCTGTCCTCAAAAAGAGAGTCACCTCAACCTTTGCAAAGCACCTTGACACGAAGCACCAAAGGTGAGAGTGACGGCTGAGGGAGCCGTAGCTGCCACTAAGACCACTGCCAAGCAGTGCGGTCTCCCAGGCTCGTTCTCTGTGCCGAGTCTCGCGAGGCCAGGCCATCAGCACACCTAGATGTTACTGCCAACGCGTTGGTTGTGCAGACGGCTAGATTCACAGAGAGGTGATGCTCAAAATGTCTCCCTGATTTCTCCCGGGAGCATGAACCGTTCCTCCGCTGTGTCCAGGCTGCTGTGATGAAGAGCCGACTGGGCATGTTTCTCAGGTTGAGGTTTAAAATGATCTGTGATTGCAGATAATCTCTTCTTTCTGAAACACGGCTCGAAGGCATTCCTGGCAGGTCTGGTGCTACCACAGAGAAGCTGGGGCGCGTGTGTGTGTTGGGGTGGGGGTGCTGACAGTGGGCGCTGGCCTCCCCTGTGCCCTGTGCTAGGGAGTGGGTGCAGAGCTGGGTGGACAGGCTGAATCCAGAGGGTGAGGAATGTAGGGCTGGGTCCCCCCAGTCCCCCAGGGGCCAGCCCCGAGGCTCCCCGCTCTGCAGGCTGCACTGCGGCCTGGCACCTTCCTGCCCACCCCACCCCCCAAAGCGCTTTCTTGCTACCACAGTCCAGTCTGTAGGCACCTCATGTACTAACTGGGAGGCACGGCTTAAAATTTTTCCCCATCTTTTTAGCCATCTTTTGTCAAGAGAATTGGGGGTTCCTGACTGTGAACACGCAGTGTGTTGGGTGGTAGCATTTCGCTTCCTTGTCATTCATCCTTTGCCAGTCAGTTTATTTCCCAACAATTTTCTAGAATCAGGCACTTCATGCAACGCATGCAGATCCACATAAATTTGTTCTTAGCCTGTCCACAGCCTGAGGGCCCAGCCACAGCCTGAGGGCAGGCGTGCTTTTCTCTGAACAGGGTCAGCGCATGTCCGTCGTCCACGAGGAGCCGAGTGACCCGCGCCCGGACAAGCTGCATCACGGGCGGGTGCAGCTGGTGGAGGTGGGTGACCTAAGGAACATGCCTCCCCGGCTCTCCATGGCCCTCTGTTCACAGCTTAGCCCTTTCACACAGTCGTGCTTTTTAACTGACTTTGTGAGTTAAAAAATATGAATTATATGAATCCTCCAAATATAAACATAATTTATATCTCTCAGTATAAAACGAGTTATAGAAACTATACGGAGTTTCATCCTCACAGGGCTCTGTTTGTGCCATTTTTATGGCACTGAGCGCTGTCCGTCCTCTTTGTCTTATAAACCCCAGGAGCCTCTAAGTGCTACGGCGTGTCCTCAGGTTCCCTCAGTGCTGGGACCTGGTGAGTGTCCAACAAATGCTTGGGACCAATTGACGGAAAAGCCACAAAGACGTCTAACATCAAAGAATAAGAAAATGTGGTTTATACGTGGGAGGTTGGGGGGAGAGGGGTGGAGGAGAAACAGCCCAGACATTGAATTTACTATAAAAGGCTTTAAATCAACATTTTAAATATGTCAAAGAACTAGAGAACACGATGCCTAAAGAACTAAAGGAGAATAGGAGAGCCCTGTCTTACCAATTCATATGTTGAAGCCCTGACCCCAGGGCTGTATTTGGAGTAAGGAAGTGAGTAAGGTTAGATGAGGTCATAAGGGTGGAGCCCTGACCTGGGGGGATGACATGTGCCCTCTAGTGTGTCCTTATAAGAGGACACATCGGGGAGCTCACTCTCCCTGCCGAGTAGGACAGTGCGGAGTGGCCATCTGCAAGCCAGGAAGAGAGTTCCTAACTGGCTGGCACCTTGACCTGGGATTTCTAGCCTCCAAACTGTGATGAAATACACCTTGTTTAAGCTGCCTCGTCTACGGTATTTTGTTATGGCGGCCAGAGCTGACTAAGACAAGGGCTCAGCAACAGGTTTGAGCAGGCAGAAGAGAGAATCACACAACTTGAAGAAGTTCAATTGAGATTATCTGGGGAACAGGAAGAAAAGAAGGTGAGGCAAAACAAACAGAGTCTCAGAGATAGTCAGAAAAAATGTACCAACACGTGCACAATAGGAGTGCCAGAACGGGGCGGGGGGGGGGGGGTTGGAGAAGTAAAGGCTGAAAACTCCCCAAATTTGATGAAAATCATTAATCTACACACCCAAGCTCAACAAACTCCAAGTATGATAAATGCAAGAAATCCACATACAGAAGCATCATAGTAAAGTTGCTGAGAGACAGAGAATCTTGAAGGCAGCATGAGAGAAGCACTGTGTCACATACATGGGGTCCTCAATAAAATTACAGCTGACTGTTCACCAGAAACCATGGAAGTTGGACAACAATGGGCTGAGACTTTCAAAGTGCGGAAGGTAACACTGTCAACAAAGAATTATATGTCCAGGAAAATGTACTTCAAAAATAATGGAGAAATGAAGACATTCTATTATAAACAAAACTGAGAAGATTCATCAACTAGCCAACCCTCCTTACAAGAAATACCACAGGGAATCCTTTAGACTGAAATGAAAGGACTCTAGACAGTAACTTAAATCCACATAAGAAACCCAACACAGGTAAAGGTAACTACAAAGGTAAATAGAAAAGGTAGTATAAACATATCTTTTATTTATAACTCCTTTTTTCTCCTATCTGCTTTAAATGACAGCTGCATCAAGCAACAATTTTAAATCTGTGTTGGTGAGCCTACAATGTATAAAAGTGTAAGTTATATGACCGTAGCAAAAGGAGCAGGGGAGGGAATGAAGCAACTGGAAGCCACGTTTTTGTATACTGTTGAAATTAAGTTGGTATTTATATAAATGTCCAGCATCAGCAAGTCCATAGAGGCAGCATGTGGCTTAGCAGGTGCCTGGGCCTGGAGATGGGAATGGGCAGTAACTACAATAGCCAGGAGGGTGCTTTTGGAGGTGGGTGGAAATGTTCTAACATTACATTGTGCTTCTGTAAATTTACTAAAAGTTTTATGCGTAAAGTGAGGGAATATTATTGTATATAAATTATACCTCAAACTGTTAAAACATAAATTAAAATTATATAAGAATTATATTTATGTGTTAACTAGAGGCCCAGTGCATGAATTTGTGCACTGGTGGGGTCCGGCCAGCCCGCCCCGATCGGGGTAGCGGGGGTGCTGATCAGGGGCGGGGCCGGCTTGGGGAAGGGGCCGCAGGCGGTTGGCTGGCTGGCCCCACCTCCTGGTTGAACTGCCGGTCAAACTCCTGGTCAAGGGGACAATTTGCATATTAGCTTTTTATTATATAGGATAACAGTTACCATTTATTTAATGTTTACTATACACTGTTCTGAATACTTTATGTACATCACAGCACTAATCCGCTTTCATCCTCACGATGCTGCTGAGGGATTAGGTGTTGTTACTCTGCCCATTAAAGAGACGTGGGAACTCTTCAGAGGAACCAACAGACTCCAGAGGTTACAAGTACAGGCTTTTGTGCACAGGATGCCCAACATCACTAAGTCATCAGAGATGCATGTCAAAGCCAGGAGACACCCTCACACCTACTAGGAAGGCTACAAGAAATGTTTTTAATTCAAAACAAAACAAAAGAACAAGAGTGAGCAAGGATGTGGAGATATTGTACGCCGTTGGTGGAACAGTGCATTGCTGTGGAAAACAATTGAGGCTCCTCAGAAATTTGAAGAACAGAATTACCGCATGATTCAGCAATCCCATTTCTGGATATATATCCACAAGAATTGGAAACAGGGAGAATCGAAGATGGCGGCATAGGTAAACACCGGAGACTGCCGCCGTAAACAACCACTTCAAAAATATAACTAAAAGACGGAACGGACATCAACCAGAACCACAGGAAGGCTGGCTGAGGAGAGACTCTTCAACTAGAAGGAAAAACAACAGCATTCCCAGGCTCAGAGGAGGCGCAGTGTGGAAAATTTAAAGGTACGGTGGTGCGGTGGTGCGGTGGTGCGCACGCAAAGCGGGCTGGTGGCTGAGGGCGCGGTTGTCGTTTTCAATCAGGAGTGAGTCTCAGACTCTGGGCTACAGATCCGGGCGAGTCTCTAGGGACCCAGACTCAAACGGGAGAAGCGGGACTGTCTGGCTACGGCCCCTCCGAGGTTTGCAGCGGTTGCTGGGACAGAGAGGCAGAGCCCCTGGGGACGGACTGAGAGCGGCCATAACTGCTCCCTCCCCCCGCCCTGTGGATCCCGCCCCGCCCAAGCCCTGCGCACAGCCATTTGCCGATCGCCTCAGGCAAAGGCTGGATTAGCGCCTCCCCAGAGGACAGACCTTTTCCACACAGCTGATTCCTACTGCCAGTCGGCCTGGTGGTCAAATCCCTCTAGTGTTAACTACAACAATTAAGGCTTGGCTAGAACAAGACTGCGCACAAAGACCACAAGGGGGTGCACCAAGAAAGCATAAAAGATGCGGAGACAAAAAAAATGACAGAAATGGAGGATATGGAGCTAAGAATCGCAATTTTGAGGGCTTGCTATAAATTTGAGCAGAGCCTCACGAAAACTAATGAGACCCTCGATGCTACGATAAAGAAATTAGAAAGTAAGCATACACGGACTGAAATAAAGAATATTATACCCAATAGCAGACCAGAGGAGCACAAGAATCAAACCAAAGATTTGACAAAAAACACCCAACTGGAAGAGCAAAATGAAAAAAGAATCCGAAAGTGTGAAGATAGTGTAAGGAGCCTCTGGGACAGCTTCAAGCGGAATAATATCAGAATTATTGGGGTGCCAGAAGATGAGAGACAGCAAGATATTGAAAACCTATTTCAAGAAATAATGGCAGAAAACTTCCCCCACCTGGTGAAAGAAATGGACTTACAGGTCCAAGAAGCGCAGAGAACCCCAAACAAAAGGAATCCAAAGAGGACCACACCAAGACACATCATCATTAAAATGCCAAGAGCAAAAGACAAAGAGAAAATCTTAAAAGCAGCAAGAGAAAGAGACTCAATTACCTACAAGGGAATACCCATACGACTGTCAGCTGATTTCTCAACAGAAACTTTGCAGGCCAGAAGGGAATGGCAAGAAATATTCAAAGTGCTGAATACCAAGAACCTACAACCAAGATTACTTTATCCAGCAAAGCTATCATTCAGAATTGAAGGTCAGATAAAGAGCTTCACAGATAAGGAAAAGTTAAAGGAGTTCATCACCACCAAACCAATATTATATGAAATGCTGAAAGGTATCCTTTAAGAAGAGGAAGAAGAAGAAAAAGGTAAAGATACAAATTATGAACAACAAATATGCATCTATCAACAAATGAATCTAAGAATCAAGTGAATAAATAACCTGATGTACAGAATGAACTGGTGATTATAATAGAATCAGGGACATGGAAAGGGAATGGACTGACTATTCTTGGGGGGAAAGGGGAATGGGAGATGCGGGAAGAGACTGGACAAAAATCGTGCACCTATGGATGAACACAGTGGGTGGGGAGTGAGGGCGGAGGGTGGGGTGGGAGCTGGAAGGAGGGGAGTTATGGGGGGAAAAAAGAGAAACAAATGTAATAATCTGAACAATAAAGATTTAAAAAAAAAAAAAGAATTGGAAACAAAATTTTGAAGGCATATTTGCCCATGCGTGTTCATCACAGCACTATCCCAGTGGCCCAGAGGCGAAAACAATGGATAAGAAAAAGTGGCGCATACATAGGAATGTGATCCCACCTCAGGGGCAGGAAGCCCTGCCACAGGCCAGAACGTGAATGGAACTGGGGGATATCGTGCTGAGTGAGATAAGCCAGTCACAGAAACAGAACTGCATGAGTTCCTGTAGAGAGGTATTTAAGCTCGCAGATTCATAGAGACAGAAAGTGCGATGGTGGTCGCCATGGGCAGGGTGGGGGCAGGGAGATGGAAGTGATTTCTTAGTAGGCATAGAGGTTCAGTCTTGCAAGATGACAGAGTTCTAGGCACCTGTCGTACAACAATGCACGTAGAGTAATAGTATTGTAGAGTACAGTTAAATACGGTTAACGTTTGTGCACCATAAGCGTCTATAGATGCGGGCGGCAGACCTTTTTTAATTAAATTCAAAATATCGTGGCAGTTAACTGGTTAAGGTGATAATTTTTATATTGTATCTTTTTTATCATAGAAAATGAATGTGTGTGCACACGAGAAGGTTGTGTTCTCTGTCCCAGTTACTCACATGTAAATATCTGGGCTGCATCCCTCGGTTTCCATGCCATCTTTCTCGGTGCTTGCACAAACAAAAGCGTATTTTATTTATTATTTTTTAAAAACATATTTTTATTGATTTCAGAGAGGAAGGGAGAGAGATAGAAACATCAGTGATGAGAGAGAACCATGGACCGGCTGCCTCCTGCACACCCCCCCACTGAGGATAGAGCCCACAACCCAGGCATGTGCCCTGACGGGGAATTGAACTGTGACCTCCTGGTTCATAGGTCGATGCTCAACCACTGAGCCACGCCAGCTGGGCCACAAGTACATTTTAAAAGAAGCCTAACACTGGAAACTTCAGTTTCACTGCATTGTTCCTGATTTCCCCCCTTCGACGTGGCGCTCCCTCCTCCTGGGAGGAAGCAGGACACCTGACGTCTGAGTGTCTGTCCACCGTCAGGCCCTTCCTATCCGACTGCATCTTGTTTTCTGTTGTGTCGTCGACTGTCTGGGTGTCTGCCTCCCTGAGGTGAGCCTGCCTCTCTGTTTCCCTGCAGGGAAGCTTCCGGCACGCGGGGAGCGGCGCCCTGGTGACGCGGGCGGAGCTGATGGTGGTGCTGTCGGGGCTGGAGGAGATGCGCCTTCGCGGCCTGTACTTCAGCGAGACGCAGCGGCTCAGCCTGAGCGGGGTGGGGCTGGAGGAGGCCTCGGACACAGGGAGCGGGCGCCGCGCGCACACGGTGGAGATGTGTGCCTGCCCCCCTGAGTACACGGGTGACTCGTGCCAGGTAGGACATTCTCCTGTCCGTGCAAGCGCCCCGGGCACTCCTGGCCGCGTCCAGCACGGCTGGTCTGGCCGCCCGCTCCACGCACAGGTCTCGGCGGGGCTGTGGCTCCTGTCTTGCCTGGACCCCCCCTCAGGTATTAAGTGGAAAGAAATCCCAGCGTCTCGGAACCCACTGGAGAGCTGAGGAGCCCGTGGATCCGGGGTCACATCAGAGCTTCCCGGAGGCTGGAAGGAGCCCCAGGCGCACCCCAGTATCCGAGCTGCTGCTTCCCTGGTACCGACCCGGGTTCGTGCTTCTCTCTAACCCAGGGCTCCCTCCATCACCACCCTGCAGAGTTAAGTCCAAGTACATCCCAATCCTTCGTGGGGACATCAAAGTCCCCTTTTCCCACTCGCAGCAGGTCCTCGCTTGAGGCCCAGTCGACTGGACTTGTCCTCATGGGATTAAAACGTGCCCTCAGCCCGGCTGGTGTGGCTCAGTGGTTGAGCATCGACCTATGAACCAGAAGGTCACGGTTCGATTCCCGGTCAGGGCACAGGCCCGGGTTGTGGGCGCCATCCCCAGTAGGGGGCGTGCAGGAGGCAGCTGGTCAATGATGCTCTCTCATCATTGGTGTTTCTGTCTCTCTTTCCTCCCTTCCTCTCTGCAGTCAATAAAAATACATTTTTAAAAAATGTGCTCTAAAATGAAGCGACTACACACCTCAGGCTGTAAGTCTGCTCTCTTCCTAAGCGAGAGGAGAAATCACAATGTTGGTACAGTTGTCAGGAAATAATTGTCCTGTGTGTCCCACGGACACCCTTCATTTCTCAGCCCTCGAGGGTGGGACACCGCACGGGGACCGGCACCTAGGAGTTCTTGTTGTTTTTTAATCTAACGTGTATTATCTGCATGTTTTGGGGGCTCCTGTCTCCTGCCATGTAGCCCACAGGGCCCCCACTCCCCACATCCCTCTCCCCCTCTCCAGCCGGCTGACTAAAATGCACTAAAATGCGTAGCTCCAGGGAAGGAGTGGAGCCTGGGATTATGGCCCTCCCGCCCTCCCGCCCAGGGCGTGGCCTCCCGTGACTCAGCCTGTGATTTACAGCTGCTCCTGGCTAGGGCCGCCCGCCGCCTGTCTGAGGCCAGGTGGGTGGAAGGTGGTGCCCGCCCCGCCTGGCAGGGATTACAGAGCGGCTGCTCTGCGGAGCGGCTCACGGTGCTCTCCCCAGGCTGACTCATGGGTGCAGGTACAGGTGGGGCCTCCCGCCGCAGACAGCCCGCCTCACCTGAGTCAGGCGGCCTGGCCCCGGCAGGAAGGGCTGGTATAAGAGGCAGGGCAGAGGCTGGTGTGCAGCCAGCGGACGCCCAGGGACCAGGATGCCCCCGGCAGTGAGGTGGTCGGCCCGGAGCGTGGGGTGGCTGTGGATCTTCGGGGCGGCCCTGGGGCAGTGTCTGGGGCACGGTGCCCAGCAGCAAAGGCTGGCGTTTCTTCAGCCTCCTGGTCAAAGCAGCCAGCAAGCAGGCTTTGTGGAGTTCAAACCCAGCCAGGTAATGTCCCCGTTACGTTTCGGCGTGGGGCTGGGGAGGGGTCCCAGCTTTGTGGCGTCTTAACTTCCTTAGGGTGTGAGTGGGTAAAGGGGGGCTGGGGCGGGGCCGGCGGCCTCCCCTCCCCTGGACTGGCGTGTTTACTGCAGGGCCCGGCAGGCTAGCCACACACCCTACAAACACCAGCCCCCCTGGAAGTGCCAGGCAGCTGAGGGTTTGAACACTTGTGGGAGGTTATAAGCTGTGAAACGAGCCCTTTTGAGAGTAACCTGAGCCTCAAGACAAAGAGCCCGGAGCCCATCGGCTTTCCAGTTCTGCTCGGAAGAAAATGACCCGCGAAGGCAGCCATCAGGGTCAGCGAAGTCCCTGTTTTAAGATGTTGGTACAACACGGACCAGGCGGCTCAGTGAGGGCTTGAGCTCACACATTCGGTTCTCTCTCCACGTCCTGAGCGTTGCACGGAGCCTCACAGCCATGATCCTCCGGCTGCTGAATAGCCGTGGGAGCCAGCTGTCCTTGGGAAAGTTACCCTGAAAATGATCATTTAAGAAATGATGAGCTGCAAGCCCCTTTCCTGAAGTCACATCTCAGGACACTCACTGTCACTGAGGGAATGTCTGTCATGCAGTCGGAATCGAACTGAGCTTTACGTGAACGGGTTCGTGTGCTCTATGGAGGGGAAATGATCACGTTTCAGGAACTGACAGATGGCTTATCTGAGAGCCGAGGGACCCATAACTCGGGCAGAGGACTTCTTCCGATTCGAATGAGAGCAGATCAGGGTGGATGACTTACCACTAACCAGGGTCGCCTGCCCTCCCCCCACAGAACGTCCAATTGAGGCTTTTACTTGGTGATGTTGTTGCAAACGAACCTGCTGTACCTCTTTATTGGATAATTTGTTCCTTAGCCAATGTGATTACTGTGTGTGTGAGAGGTGACAGGTGGTGATAATCATCGGTCCTCACCCCCGATGAGCCGCGGTGACTGGCTTGCAGAGGCAACCAGACCCTGGTCGGCTGAATTTCGTTTGAAGGAATCTCGGTTGTGCTTTTGGCTGAAGAGCATTCCTTTCATACTTCGATCCTTCGGGCAAGCCCGTTCACAGCGCAGCTGAAGGAATCTCGTTTCCTGCAGCGGCTCCTTGGCTAAGCTGGGTTCCTGGCAGCTGGAGGGAAAAGTACATTGGAAGCTGCGGTCTCGATCTGTGCGCAGTGTGGCGTCGCGGGTCACTGTGGAAGAAGCTCCCGGCAGCCACGGGCATGTTCCAGGCGGGCAGTGCAGGAGGCTCTCCCGCCGGCCGGTCCCTGGTCCCGCTGCCCCCACTGACCGGGAGAGAGCTTTTGGCCACGGACGGGTCAGGGTGGCCAGTTCATGTCCAGGTGTCCCTGGGCGGTAGTTTCAGAGTCTGAAGACATAGGGGCTGTTGAGAGGGGATTGGACAAATGACCTTTATCTTGAAAGATTACATTTCCTGGTGCTTTGAGGAGAGGGCACCTCGGAGGCCGGGAGGGGAGCGAGGGGCAGTGTTGGCCTTAGCCAGGCTCTGGTTCTCTCTGCGAAGGAACGAAAGGGCCTGGAATTCGGCTTCAAGGCAGAAATCTAAATCATGTTTAGGGGCTGGTGTAGGAGTAGTTGCTTCTCTTTATCGGGGGCTTAACTAGCAAACCTCTTTAAAGTAGACGAGTTCACTAAAAAGGGTCATTCTTTTCTCCCATGTGAAGAGTGACGGCTGTGTGCCCTGGGAGAGACAGTGCACGGGGGACAGAAGTGGTTAGCGCCGTGGAGCGGGAACAGGGAGGGGCTGCCTGAGCTGGCTTTGCGCACAGTCAGCCCCGCTATCCCTGCCAGTTCTGTGGGAACCGGGCACGCTCCCCCCTGCTCCCCCTGCTGCCTGTAGCTCCTGAGGGGCAGGGGCTCGATCCCACAGTCCTGCCCCGGTTGTGTGGGTCCCAGTGAAGACCCCCTCCTCCCCTCCTCCCCTCCTCCCACACGGCCTTGCCCACTTGCTCAAATCCGTACCTGGAGAGGGAATGGCTACCAAAGAACTTGAACTTGAAGGGATTTGCTTAGAACCCTCCCCACGAAGGACTGAGGTCCTCATCCCCTTTGCACCTTCACCTCTGCCACCATCCCCTCACCCTGGAAACAGCTGGCGTGAGAAGGAGAGGAAGCAGGTCCACACCCACCCTCCAAACTTCCCTTCTCGGGATTCCCCACTCCGTCCCCCGCTCGGGCACAAACACACTCCCCCCAGGACACCGCCCCCCCCCCAGGGCCCGGGAACAAAACAGAGCCCAACAGACAAAGAAGAAAGCAGGTGGACAGGCTGGTGTTTGAGTGAAATCCACACACAGACTAAGGGGAGAAGATTTAAGAAGCGAGGCTTGTCCGTTAGAACGGTCGCGTGCTTTGGATAATAATTTTCCCCCGTTTTGACTGAACACTTTGTTTGAAAAATAGGGCTGCAGCCCCGGATACTATCGGGACAACAAAGACTTGTATACCGGGCGGTGTGTGCCCTGCAATTGCCACGGACACTCACATCGATGCCGGGACGGCTCTGGAACATGCATCGTGAGTACATGGGCGCTGTGACACTGCCAGCAGGCGATCTGTGTTGTCCTTCCCCCACCCCCACCCCGCCCGCCGGGCCCGGGACATCCACCGTCACATCCTACACCCCAGGCAGCGGGGCTGTGCACGTGCAGGAGGCCCGAGAGACGAGTCCGACGGACCTCACCCCTCACCCTCCCCACGTTAACACCTTCGCTTCTAAACCTCTGCTTCATTAAGTGACTTTTTAAATATAGTTTTATTGCTTTCAGAGAGAGGAAGGGAGAGGGAGAGCGGGATACAAGAGATCAACCTAAGAATGTGTGTGTGCATGTGTGCATAACTCACGGCGCAGGGTGGTGAGGGCCTGGGGTGGGGGCAGGCTAGAAGGAAGACAATGAGGAATAAAGACTTAAAAAGAAAAAGAAACATCCATGATGAGAGAGAATCACTGATAGGCTGCCCCCTGCACGCCCCACACTGGGGATCAAGCCTGCAACCCAGGCACATGCCCTGACCTGGAATCGAACCGTGACCTCCTGGTTCATAGGTCGATGCTCAACCACTGAGCCACACCAGCCGGGCCATTAAATGATATGAATGGGAGGGTCCTGGACTTAACTCTTGCGAGGACCTAATAAATCGAAGTCTTCCGCGTGGGCTCCTGTTTTGTTGGGGCGGCAGGAGGCTGGAGGGCGTGGCCGGCAGAGGAGAGCAGCTCAGGAGGAGACGGGGAGAAGGAGATGTGCACACAGTCGAGCACAAGCCCTCCAGGGCTGAGGCGAGTGGGAGCGAGGAACACAGGCGAGCCGTCCTGCCATCCACCGGAAAACAGTCTTCTGGAATATTTCAGAAAGTTCTCCTGTAGACAGTAGATTCTCAGGGACCTTTTCCTGTATTTTTTTTAAATATCTATTTTTATTGATTTCAGAGAGGAAGGGAGAGGGAGAGAGAGAAACATCAGTGATGAGAGAGAATCATTGATCGGCTGCCTCCTGCACACCCTACACTGGGGATCAAGCCTGCAACCCAGGCATGTGCCCTGACGGGAATCGAACCCTGACCTCCTGGTTCACAGGTCAGCATGCGCAACCTCGGAGCCACGCTGGCTGGGCAGCTCTATTATATTTTTAGAAACGCTCCCAGCAAGCTTGGAAAGTGGGTGTTATCCTAGCTGCACATTTTAAGAAAATTGGAGCTGTATGTAAATCACACAGCAATAAAGTTGATGTATGGAGAGCGCTGAGGCTCAGGGAGGGACGGAACTTAGTCAAGACCCACAGCTATGCAATGGACCTGAACCAGCTGGTCACCCCACCGCACCCCAGC